TTTTTTTTCTTCGGGATTTTTTTTTTTTTCGCTGGGAATTTTTTTTTTTTTTCGCTAGCAATGTTTTTTTTTTTCGCTAGTAAAAGGGCAACTTTGTATGGCAGGTACCCGAAATATCAAAGGTACACACCCCATAATTTGATAGAAACTTTCTATTTGTATTTAAAACACTTTGGTAAAGAAATTTTCCAAATCGGTTAAGAAATGTAGAAATGCGAGTGTCTACATCCATCCATCCATCCATCCCCACAGACCCGAAAGCGGACAGAAATTTTTTTTTCGTTTTTTTCCACTTTTCTCGACGTTTCAAGCCATTTTAAGTGTAACTAAGCAAAGAAAATTTTTTGAAATTTTTGCGTAAATCCAATACGGTTGCCCGTCACCCTAGGGTGGGGCCTCCGTAAAAAAGCAAAGTCTGATGAGAATGAACAAGAGAGTTACAAAATGAAATTCATTAATAACAATCTGACTTATAATTACGTAAAATTAATTGAGATGGACATTAATTTCATTACATAGTTAAGTTTGATCAAAAAAAATTCTGGTTTCGCTTCAGTTGTTTTATTATATCATTAATGAAAGTTCATGTAAAATTTTTAGTGCTTTTCATTCATTCATTAAGCGTGAGCAAAAAATTTTTTTTTTATAATTTGAATACAGACAAACGCGCAATCGTAAAATTTCGACATTTCCAACAGTTGACACTTCCATGCACTCAGTCAATTCACTCAATTCAAACAACATCAGTTATAAAATAAAAATTTCTCTTGTTGACCACTTCAGCTATATTATTCGCTATAATATTAAGTTCAATTGTTTCATTGAAACAATTTTTATCTGAATCTTCAACGCGTAGTCCAGCGCAACAACATGTTGTGAATTTCATTTCAACGAATCATTCAGTAATTAATCTTGAACATAACGAAAAGAATTTAATTTGTTTCTCATTCCCATTTTTTTCCCTCAATTTTTTTTGCTATAAATCATTTTTTTAGGAAGCACATTGCTGTGTGTTTAAAAAGCATTAATTATTATTGTAAGAAAATGTTCGATAACAAAAAGAATCTGAAAGGAAATTAGAGACTTAATCTGTGTCTTCAAATGGTTCAAATTTATCGTGCAAGGCCAAACAAATTATCACCGTTTAATTAATGATTGTGAAAATCATGCATCAAGTTGGATCTTCGCTTTGAATTCCATTCGGTTGCATTGAGAAAAAAAAGAATACCTACGAGCTATTCAAGACATGCCAACAAGAAGAGAAAATGCGAAAAGATTTTTCTTTGTTCGCCTCTCGCCAACATGAAAATGATAAATGAACAAATTACGTGTTAAAAGTTAGAGAGAAATAAGAAATTTTCTTCTCGAAAAGATGAAATAATGTTCTCGAGAATGTCTCTAATGAAGTGAAAGGCGCAGGGAACAAAGAAAAGCTAAAAACTTTTTACTGCTTTACGTATTTATTTGAGAAAATGTTCGATACGAATTGTTGACGGTTGGAAGGAACAAAAACTGACTAATTGTTGCTCGAATTGACATCGAGAATTTTCTTCCAATTTTACGTCATTTGGATGGGGTGAAAGAAGAAAAAATAAAGAGGGGAAAGCACGCGCTACCTGATGCTGTCATCTTGTTTGTCAGGATACTTTTATTCAAAGTCAATTTGAATCACAAGGAAAGGTTGAATAAGAAAAATCATTTCGCTCCCGTTGGCATTTTTGCCTTTATCAATTCAATTCATTAATCATAATTTTTATCGAGTACAATGTCAATTGCTTAATGGACTGAAGTTTCATTCGTTGTCTGTTCTGCTTCATAGGAATACTTATAGACCTGACTTTAAAGTAAGAAAGTTATTTTAGCATGCTATTTATCATGAATTATTTTTAATGGATGTGAAGTCGTTTGTCAAGAGATAACTTCTCAAATATCTAACAACAAAATTGAAAAAAAAGAAAATAAAATAATATCTAGATAAATTTGATCCTTTTCTTTAGGATCATTTGAAAAATAGCGAAACAGGATACGATTACAAAAACATTTTTTAATCAAGCTTTTTGAAGAATGTCTAGAAGAATGTTTGTTTCATGCAAGGGAATAGAGTAAGGAGAATACAGAAAGAGTCATGGCATTTCAGTGACACATTCCATTCCCCTTCTATAATCCAGTGAAATGTTAGGATAAGTTGTGAAGTTCACAGGGAAAAACAAGTTTAAATCTTCCGCAATGGCATTGTTATCGCGATGATTTCGCCTGAAACTGAACGGTAGTCAAAGCGACGATAAAAACTTTTCCCTCATCTCAATTTTTTTTAGAAAAATAAAACTTTTCAACTTTAGGATGTGGTAGATGAAAAGAAGGAAAGATGTGACTTGCTTTGAATGATGTAATTGCTGCCTTTCAGCAATATGACTTAGAATAAGAGATTTTTTGGTCGACAATGTTTATTTATGTTGAAGAAGTTCAAGATTTCAATTGCAAAAAGAGGATTCAAAAGTTCCTTCCAAGTTGGATAGCAAAAATATTTTTTTCGTCAGAAACTTTGCCACAAACCGTCTTATGATGATTCGAAAAATGTAAAGAAAATCAGGTAAGTTTATTCATTTTCGTTCTATAATTTGCAAAGAGTTTTCCAGCATCCCCATCAAGAAGGAAAAAATTCTCGCAATTAGCTGATGTAAAATTACTGTACGTCAATTCGAGAAAGTTTTAAATTAGATTCCAGTGAAGAAAATTGAAAACTTTTTAATTTAGATTTTTATTTTACTTGAACACAATTGAACTTTATTGTTTCTTATGTACACGAAATAAAAAGAGTTTGCTAGATGTTTACTATGTTTCTGCTGTTTAAGTATGTAATCAACCACTTTATCTAAAGTGGAAATGAGAAAACAACTGTACTGCTGGCATAGCATGGCATAATAACATTCCATGTTTTCTTCGCTTTCATCTTATCGCTAAATTGTTAAACAATTATAGTTCTTGGATATTTGAAAAAAGAAATTTCGACGATGCATCTGCTTTCTGTAGATATGCAGCAGCACTTGGAGTTTTATTCTCTGATGAAAATGGTGCACCAGCTGTCATGACAAATGTAAGAAGAAGTCAAAAGTTTTGACTCAAAACATAACAACAAATGTAAAGAGAAAACAAAGTTCATTAGAAGTTTTGTTTAACACGATTCAGTTTTATTTTTATTTTCATCTGTTTTAGTGCATAATGAGTTGAGCTTACCGAGTAAGGAAAGAAGCTTTCCATCCAACTATTCAAGAAATGTTGTCGTGTAGTTGTAAGAATTGAAAGAGTCATAATAGTGAAACTTAATGATAATGATTCTTTGCTTAAATATTTCTTATGAGACAAATTGCACAAATAACAGTAATGAGATAACAGAAATTAATAATTTTCCAGATGTTTTCTTTTGGCTTAAATTTCTTAACATTTAAATTCTAGAAGAACTTGGCTGTTTAATGATCCTTAACAGTAATATTGAATAATTTTTGAGCAATGATCGAATACTGAATATCGATTGGTCGGGTGTCGTCGTATCTGTTAAAAGTAAAAAATGAAAGTGAATAAGATAAAAAAGAAGACTTTGAAAGTTTTATCTTCCAAGCTAGGAGAGTGTGGGTGGAAACTTAGGCATGTTTCTTTGAAACTTACAATGCTGGTGCTTCGCACAGAATTGAGAATGTGCCAAAAAGTGATGCTGTTGTAAAGAGCCATAAAAACAAACGATCCAACACCATAGCTACAAATCCCCAATCTTGATCCTCCTGCAAAAATATATTTCCAAATGTTAAGAAAACGTCGACAGGTTCTTAAGAATTATAGCATTTGCAACTATTATTATTATTCCGTTCTTTCTTTCATGTCATATGTTATTCTTTATGCTGAGATAAAACATTAGCTACAAGCTATTTTGAGAGTGAGATAAAGGAAAAAAAGGATCGAAATCTTTTGCACCCGCAAGCGGAAAAGAAACTTCTCAAGCTGCTAAACTTCCTTCATTTATTCATATCTGTATATGTCTAATGTAAGTCTTTCATGCTAACTCATCGCTCAACATAAAAAAATTCGAAGTAAATGGGCGAAAAAATTAAATTTATCTGAGTGTTCATTTCTGCATTGTGGATGAACAAAATTTTGTTCTGTGTTTGCTTTGTACAGCCCGATTTTAAGGAAATGTTTCTCGGAATTTGAGAGTTTGTAAAATATATGTTGTGATGGTTTTTAGTGATTGTTAAGACTTCACAAAGAATAATTCGATAAGAACGTTATACATTGGAACTTTGTATGCTGCAATATAAGTTTTGCATGGAAGGTTAGCCATCACACTCGAATGAACCCAGTAATCCAATTAAAGACATCCTTACGGCCACGTTCTTGTTAAACTTTCTCATCGCAAATCTGATAAAATTGCATGGCTATTGTGAGTTAACAATGTAAACAGCAAGCTACAGTTTAAATAGAAGATTTAATGAAAAAGGAAAACTGAAAAATAATATGATAAAATTTAAGCGAACGAGAGTTTGGCTGCAATGCCTGCATAAATATCAGTGTTTGTTCATGAACTTTTCCACATCCGTAAAATATTGTAAAAAAAAAAACATTGGAACCAGTAGATAAATATGTAGGCGAGTGTTTGTTTGTGTGCTACTTACAGCATTAAATTCATCTTGCCGTTGCATATGATGTTGAATGAACATAACATTGTGAATCGCTTTTTCGAGTTCGAACGGATATTTCTTTTTGGCACCAACATCGCTCAGAGAATCGTCTAATCCAGACATAATGGATGGAAGTCCGTTGTAGCCTATGAAAGGAAGGAAGGAAGAAAACGATGAAGTAAAGAAAAGAAGAAAATTAAAATTTCGTGATGAGAGGAAATTATGTCTGTCGTGTGCTTCCCGCCTCCTCCAACTAATCCCCCTCCACTTAATCCGACACCCAACGAGCCTACTAAGCCACTAAATCTGGTGTTTTATTTTCCGGGAAATATGAAAGGAAAATCAAGCTTATGACGAATTTCTTGTGTTGAAAAGCACTTGAAGTTATTCACCTGTTTGTAGCGGTTGTTGAATGAAGGCCATTACAACCAGCTCGTCCCTGCATTGCCCTTATCGAATCGGGACTTGAGCCGCCTGAATTGCTTTGGAACTGATTGTGTGCAGCGACTGCCGCATTGAACTTTGACTTCTTACTTCCATTTTTACTGGCATTCTTAATGCCATAATTAATCTTGCTTGCGGCCAACTGATTTAACAAATCTTTTGGCACACGCATAAGTAGCAAGCGAGGAAGTGTTTTTATGAAAAATCTCCGCACCCACGGAGCCATTTTGTGTGTTGATGGCTTTCGATAATGAATGTTCAGTATACCTATTGTTACTACAACCGACAATCCAACCAGAATCATAGTGAATAGAAGATATTTGCCCAACAATGGAAGCGCAAGTGATGTCGACGGAATGATTTCCGATATAAGCAAGAAGAACATTGTTTGCGACAAAAGAATGCTGATGCAAAGGGCGACTTTCTCACCAGAATCAGCGGGTAGATAGAAAACCAATACCGAGAGATATGAGATACCGACACATGGAATAATCAAGTTGACAGTGTAGAAAAGAGTTTTCCGGCGCAATGTTATGTTGAAAAATATATCGGGATATGGCTCAGCACAGCAAGGATAATATTTTTCATGTCTTTCAGCTGGTACGCCAAGAATGTCCCATTCAACTGATGGATAATATTCTCTTAAATCAATTCCAATCTCGACCATGTTGCTGGTATTGTTCAACTGATTTTTATGCTTCAAGTCAATCTATGCATTTGAATAATGAAAAATATTTTTCTTTATGCTTTGATTTGAGCATTGAATATTTATATTTCAAATAGAAGAAAAGAAAACTTACCTGATTTCCATCGTATGTCCAGGAACCGAACTGTAATAATAAAAAACGAGATTCATATCGGAAAACAAAGCAATACGAGTCAGGAAATTGATATTCCTTCCTTTATTTTACCTTCATAAAGCACGTTTGCTGATCAAATGGAAAATAACGAACGTCAATTTCACACGATGACTTGAAAATTGCCGGCGGATTCCACAAAACTTTTCCCGTATAAGTAAGAATAGCTTTTGTTAATGTTGTCACCACGTACTCACCATCGGCACTAGAATAATTTAACCAAAATGTCATTGGCGTTTTTAGCATTTTTGATCGAAATTTATGTTTTTCTTAGTGATTTATGAGTGTGAATATTTTTGTATTGTCATGGAAATTTTTCAAGAAACGCGAGAATGATTTTATTTTATTATTTCCACCTACAACCTATTTAAAAGCCGTATCGAGCTGTTCTGTTATGCATGATTTCAATTGTCTGGCAAAAACTAACCGGAAAATTTAGTTTTACAAACACAATAAATTAAAAATTTACAACATTTATTCAAAGCATCCTCGGTATATTCATATCCAATGCCGTAGACATTACTGCACAATGTAGCTCGAATGCAAGCATGTTTCACTCAGCAATTTCGCATCTCTAACATGAGTATAATCATGTAATAAAATATTTGCTTATCATTATACGAGATCACAGAATCGTTAAAGCACACGCTTCTTCCTCCCCTAGCAATATTCGTATTTCATCATGAGACACCGTCGTCAGAGGCTAATGTTTTTGTTTTACAATATGATTTCTCTTCCAGATTTTGTATTTGTACTATAGATAAATAAATAAAATGCTGCCATCACTATCTAGGGATATCTTGTCGTCCCCAAAACACTGTAAGCTCTTCTATCGTTTGTACTTGTTAACTAATCTATATTTTGATAAAGCAACTTAATTTACATTCATAATGAATGTGACTGTAGGAGAACTTTGACTTGATGTATGAGACAAGTGCAAAGAATAGTCAAGAAAACTTTCAGATAGTTTAAAAGGAAAACTTTGCGATAAAGTTCACTTATCATTGCTACGAGTTCATTCATTCTCAACATTCCATTAACGTGTCGTGCAAAAGATGATGTTAATGTATTTTTACCATTCATAATATTTTAAGTGCATTTAGCGACATTAATCTGTTAAATCTTTATAAATCAAAGAGCAGCTTGTGTGAAGAGATTTCTTTATTCTTGAGAGTTATTCAGACTCATCATTGTTTAAAAAAGATTCAATGACGTGATGTGTAATATAAGCAAGCAAAGAAGCAGTAAATGGAACTTCTAGAACAATAAATATTCGAGCTTTGAAGGGAGTTCACTAGTAGTTAAACATTATATGCACATGCTACTAAGAAAAAGAAAAAATCATTGAAGTAGAAAAACATTAAAACGGAATAAATCACTGGGAAAATTTGCAGAATAAAAGAAAATCAATCAAATGTGAAGTTTTAAATTCTTCAGAAGTTTTTTTTAATAGTTTTTGGATATGAATTTCACAAAAGTTTAATACAAAGAGATGATACATCTCAATTTAATGCAATGTGATGAAAATATAACTAAACAGGTAAGTAAGCAAGCTTTGTTTAGAGAGACAAATAACTGAACAATTCAACACATGTGTTAGAGGAGAATGATGACATGTATTAAAACTGAACATTTTGGATGCATTTTAGTCTTCTGTTCTGATGAGCATCAGTCGTTTATTGAATTTCGTACTTTTACTACACAGTTAGTTGTGAAACTTTATCATGATTTTTAATTTTATATTTTACTTCTTTTCTTCGATTGCACTTGTCCAAGGAAGTAAGTTGCATTTTGTAAGTTTCAAAATATTCATTTCGGATTATTTCTACAGGTCGGAATGCAATTTGCGAATTCTTTTATTCTTCTCCTACCGTTTTTCTTCGAGAAGGGCCATTCAAGTAAGTACTCAGTATTTATTTGTACATGTTATTGAATGCAACTAATAAAAATGAATTTAAAGAGATTTCATTTGCAATTATTTCTGCGCGGATATTGAATGCCTTTCACCTCCAAACGAAAATTGTCAAATAGTTGATGTTCCTGGAAAGTGTTGCCCCGCTTATAATTGTAGGTGCGAATTCAATGGGCAAACATTTGAAGACGGCGAAGATATTCCTGATGATAATTTTTGTCAACAGTGCACATGTTCAAACGGAGAGAAACTTTGTGAAACAATAGAATGCGTAGGACCTCCAAGCGATAACTGTGAACCAGTTGAAGTTGATGGGCTATGCTGTCCCGATTACCATTGCAACATACATTGTGGATTTATTGGAGAAAGATATAGAAATGGTGATGATATTATTTATATTGCGTTGTTTACGTATTTTCAGTAAACCGAATGAAACTTATTGAAAAGCTAACTGCTAATTTGTTTCCTATAGCTAACGAGTTTTATTTGAATTTATACAAAGATTTTCGATCGCAGATTTTTTTCGAGTTTTCGTATCACAGGTCAGCTTCTGCCAAACAGCTGTGAAGGAATTTTGGTTGAAGAAGGACAATGTTGCGTTCGTGGGATGACAAATCAAGATGAAGCAAGAATTCCTGAAAACATAGCTACAAATATTCTTATTGCTGTGATGGGGTATATTTTACTGAATGGGCTGATTGCGATCGTTTTGGCTTCCAATCTTTATGCCGACGCATCAGAATTCCTTTCCAGTGATGTCCCGAGATAGAATGCAACAGTAGATGTTATTTTAATGGATTGAAGATTTAGAATATATGTCATCTAGTCTACCATGTGAATGGTGTCGTTGCTATGGATTGGGAAATTTTGCAGAATAAAAGAAAAACAATCAAATGTGGTTTTATAATCTTCACTGAAGTTTTTTTTTTTAATAATGAGTCTTTTTAGTTATTGGATATGAATTTCAGTTAAATAGAAGAAATATAATGAAAATATGTAGATATAACTAAGCAAGTAAGTAAACAAGCTTTATTTATAGCTACATCATCAAATAACTGATCAATTCAATACATGTGTTACCCTCCAATGGTGACATGTATTAAAAACTAAACATTTTGCACGCGTTATAATTTTGTTTTCCGTTGAGCATCAGTCGTTCATTGAATTTCGTACTTTTACTACACAGTTAGTTGTGAAACTTTATCATGATTTTAAATTATATATTTTACTTCTTTTCTTCAATTTCACTTGTCCAAGGAAGTAAGTTGCATTTTGTAAGTTTCAAAATATTCATTTCGCATTATTTCTACAGGTCAGAAGGCAATTTGCGAATTTATTTATTCTTCTCCTACCGTTTTTCTTCGAGAAGGGCCATTCAAGTAAGTACTCAGTATTTATTTGTACATGTTTATCGAATGCAACTGATAAAAATGAATTTAAAGAGATTTCATTTGCAATAATTTCTGCGCGGATATTGAATGCCTTTCACCTCCAAACGAAAATTGTCAAATATTTGATGTTCCTGGAAAGTGTTGCCCCGCTTTAAATTGTGCATGTGAATTCAATGGACAAACATTTGAAGACGGCGAAGATATTCCTGATGATAATATTTGTCAACAGTGCACATGTTCAAACCAGGAGAAACTTTGTGAAACAATAGAATGCGTAGGACCTCCAAGCGATAACTGTGAACCAGTTGAAGTTGATGGGCTATGCTGTCCCGATTACCATTGCAACATACAATGTGGATTTATTGGAGAAAGATATAGAAATGGTGATGATATTATTAATATTATTTGAAAATGATGATTGTTTGATCGCAGATTTTAATCGAGTTTTCACATTACAGGTCAACTTCTTCCAGACAGTTGTGAAGGAATTTCGGTTGAAGAAGGACAATGTTGCGTTCGTGGAATTGTATATCAAAGTGGAGATAAAATTCCTGAAAAGGATCCATGCAAATTTTCTGATTGCTCTGATGGTTTATATTATGTTGCATGGGCTGATTGTGAGTTACCTACACGTGTTGGATGCCGAGGCATCGATATTCCTTGCCAGTGCTGTCCTGATATAGAATGCCTGTTAGATGGATGTGAATTTAATGGGCAAATGTATGAAGAATTGGAATATATACCATCTAGTGTAACATGTGAATGGTGTCGTTGCTATGGATATAATCAAACTGTATGTCAGATAGATTGTTCTGTTGATGAAGCAAGTCATATCGAATCATGGGATTTGACAGGTTTAATAATAAGTTAACAAGAACATTCTAAATTTAAGTATTGTTGTATACTTAATTTGTTCGAACTTCAAGGTCAACAACAAAATAAATGATGGATGAAAATATAAATTTAGAGACATAAACAGTTAGTTTTCAGGAACACTTGAACATATAGCACGAAAAGTTTTTAGTTCATAACAAAACAAGTGATGATCAAAGATCAACAAAATGGAAGCAACGAATAAGTGTCAATATTCCTATTTTCTATTGAATGTTTTTAAGTGAAGCCATAGCAATTGATCAAATAATCATCGTTGAGCGAAAGTTTGCTTAGATATGAATATGAAACATTTTCAGTATTCATTATACCACTCATATCCACACAAATGATATCTAAAATTTGTTGATATTTTTCAACACTCACCAGACATTGTTTTGTTTTAAAACCGATATTTATATCAAAGATTTTGAATTCATACCACTTCTAATGTATGGAAAAATCAAACCGAGAGAGAAAATCCGCAAAATATTGAACGAAGTTATGTTTCTGATGTTTTCAGCTGTCACTGAAATTGATCAATCATTCCAGCATGCGGATGATTGCCCACAATTAAGCTCCGGAAATGTCTGCTTTAAATTGGAATCTTGATGATGGTTTCTTTCCTTTCCAAGGATTATCTTTATAGAAACAATAATTTGAAACTTTTTCTTTCGTTTCTGTAATTCCTTTTGCTCAATGATTCATTTGCTTAAGCTAACTTAAGTTGGAGAGTAAATGAAAAAATTAAACTATGAAACAATTTCTCTTAATTAAATAAGTTTTCAATTTCCCGATTATCTCGTTTTTCATTTGTGTGAACAAAATTTTCTTTCATTCATTTTTAAATGAATTTCTTCTTTATTTCATAGCATTATTAATTTTATTATTTACTTGAAGATTATTCTTCTCAATCATATTTTATGATCGTATCCTTGTGGTGAAAATTGTTTCTAATGTATCAAAGCTTCTCAAATATCCTCTAAAATTTTAATTTTTTATGTAAAAGCTCTTTGTAACAGCAACAGGAGAAAATCTCAGCTTAGTCTGCGTAATTAATCAACGCATCTTTGAAAATCTAGAAAATTTCTAGACGAAACATTAATTTTCAAATCTGTCATTTTTGTTGACATTCAATGTTCGTGGTTGCATTATGGTGGATATTTCTTATGGAATATATAATGAATGACATTTATCTTTATAAATGAAATCATTAATTAGTCTATTTATGAGCTTAAAATTTTTTAAGCTCGACTATTTAGGTTACCAAAAATCTTTCTCATTTTTCTCGGCTCTCAAGAAATTTGAGCATCAATTATTGATGATAGGGATTCATATTTTATTCGAATTTTCTTCTTACTTGTTGTAAAGGACGATATCCGGTAGCCAAATATGCTCCGATGGCACATAAAGTTCCGTAACACCACCATACTCTGCCGGATCCCATTTAAATTTATGATCTTGCCACTCGTGTTCCAACCAGATGTTCGTTGTGAGAATTTGATCTTTCAGATTCTGGGGAGCAATCAAATGTAAGAAAAAAGTTAATAAACATAGTGATTCAAGAAATGGTTGTAGAAAATTTCAATACTCTGAATAAATCGTTCAGATTTCTGTTTCATTTCTGAAGTTACAGTTTAAAATTTAAATATTATTTTATAATCTTTATTCAAGTCACTTTGAGAAGCTGTCCATAGATGTTATCAAGAGTGAAATATGCGTCGATACATCATGTAAATAAAAACTGAAATATAAATTGTATGCTTGCTTCTTATATACTGAAAATTTTACCACAGCAAAAGATTTATGCAAGTTTTTGTTGCACAGT